GTCTCATTTAAGCTGTATTTATAGCATGTTATTGGACAGTAAGTCTGAATCAGCCTTATATACAAAAATGAGTGGATGTCATGTTTAATCCAAATTTAGATGTTTACACTGAAAAAGGAGGCTGCAATAGATTTTCTGGTTCATACAGAAGACTGCTTTCATGTTCATCTTCTTTCCTATTTTGTATGTTGTGTATAGACAGTATGGATTTTCCCTTGCTATTATGTTTGCTATGTTTCTATATTAAAAAAAAAAAAAAAAAAAAAAAAAAAGCCTAAAAAGAACATTGTAAAATAGGAGTCAATTCTTGTGACAATGTGACAAAAGCCTTAGTCCTTGCTGTGGAGCACAGTGCAGGGATTCCAGACAGCCACTGTCCCCTAGGGCTTTTCAAAGTCTGTTGGCAGCTTTATTCTTTCAAATAGGCTGTGTCCCAAGTTTGTAGCCAGAGAATCCAGCACAGATCACGCCAGTTGGATTTAAAGCCTGGCTGGCATCCTCAGCCAGTACTTATCCTGGTGAGATAAGTGGGTTTTTCATTCACATGGCAGAGTGTGGCAAACCAGTATGATCATGCTTTAAACTGATACAAAGCGTCAAGATTCTTTCCTCTAGACTTATAATTTATGCTATAAAAATTGTACCAAGATTAACCAGGAATCTTATTTTGACCATATCTTGTCCATGAAAAGGTATGTGTCAAATTGGTGTAAATATGTTTTGTACATTTTCCCCCCCTATTTAGACAGAGCTCTTATTTATCCTGTTTATGTCTCCCATCTGCAATATGTGTTCTTAAGATCACTCACTTGGTATTCTTCACGTATGTCTAGAAAGTCTTAATCTGAGTTTACTACAGCCTTTATGAAGACAAACCTTATTCAGGACCTTCCCTGCAAAGCTCCACACTGGCAAGTGCACACTCACATTTCTAGTGGTTTATACGGTCTGGGACTCACTCCTCCTTAATGGATATCTTGAATTTTTTCTGATCACATTGAAAAAACACCCTCTCCTTTTTTAACTGTATCCTAGCAGGTCTGCAGAATGTTTCTTTAGCTACTCCTCTTATTAGATGATAATATGAAATTATCCCAACTTAATTAAGAAATAAAGGTTATGCAGTCACCCTGTCTATCCTTGTGTTCATCTTCCTGCCTGCTTCTCTGTCTGTCCATGCAGGCATCTCTAAGTTCCTTTTTAGTGGAGGCAAAGTTAATTACTCTTCTGTAATTGGGATAGAAGAGACAAATTAATGCCAATCTTGAGGAAAGGAAGCAAAATTTATGTACTTTTTGTTTGGCAGCAGTCAGCTGAACATGTTCATCTAACTTCTGACTTAGCATAGCACTTTTATCTCTTCTCCAGGGTGGGGACCATCATAGGTTATATGGGGTGGGTTCAGGTATGTCCCATAGGAAAGGTCAGGAAGCAAACCCCAGAAAATTTGCAGAAGGCCATCACTTTAACGTGATAAATAACTTGCAATGCGTTATGTAATCTTTGGTCTGCTAATGGAAATTTGGCCTGTGTTTTATGTAACAGTGATTCATTTCATGTAGACCGTTGTGCTTTAGCAGTCTTTTTTGGTGGTGGTGGATTTGATCGTTTCAAATTTTGGGCTATGTGAAAATTATTCTGCTTTCAAATCTGTCTTTCCTTTGAAAAATGGAGATGTGAACAAGTATGTCAGGCATTTTAGTTAACAGAGTCTAACACTGATGTGAACAATTTCTTCTAACCTTAAAGGTTAACAGCTCCGTCTATATTTAGAAGCTTGTGATACATTGCACATGGTTTACTCTGCCTCTTGCTGCTTCTGAATATAGACAGGTGGCACTATCCTGTCCAGAATCCAGACAGAATCATCTATCAGCTTCCGCATCATCTGAAAAGAAAACAGCAGGACACTCATACATTGTAGTCTTTACTACACCACAGTACACTGTGGATCAATGGCACTTCGATTGAATCATATGTTCTTGCTGTTCTGTACAAAAAATAACACAGCCGCTTTAGACGTGTCTGCTCCCTTTTTGAGCACTCTCTCACCTTTTCCAGATTTCCTGACCCAGTGTGGATTAAAGATTACTCACCACACTATGCAACTGCTTTTCTGTTCACGTGGGTCTGGTGTGTGCTAAACTGCTTTGCGAAAGGTGTGGATATCTACACTTTCAGTATCACGCTTTCTCCAGAATAATGATAATTTCTGGGATTCTGCTCTTGACACAAGGGACATTTGAAAAGTGAAAATTAAATCCTGAGTTGATTTCAGTGAATTAAATTAATATTTAATAATGCCTCCTCTAAAAAATAACAAGCTACATTATTCTACCAGTGTTCTCCAATGAAATGCAGTCCAGCAAGAGCTCAAGTAGAATGAAGTTTGAAAATTAGAGGAGTGGGGTCATGCTATTTTATAGAAAAGAAAAAAAAACCCTCCAGGGCAGAAAGCCCAGAAACATGTACTTGTTGCCTCTTAGAAGTGCCTCAGCATTCAAGGGGTGGCAAACAGGGGCACTGAATGGGAAGAAGAGCAAGAAAGTACCACCTCCAATAAGAAAGCCCACAGGAGATGGTGAGAAGAAGGACCATCCTATTTTCATAGTTTTGCCAATCTGCAGTTTGACAGTTAATAACTATGTTGTAGCTGTTGCCTGGGAATTTGAAGCACTGGTGAATATTTTGTGCATTTGTGTCACATGTTGGGCGTTCAGAGTGTTTGCCACTGGCAGATGCTTGTGACACTATAAAGAACTAGCTCTACTCTATCTGGTTTATTTACAGGTAGAAACAATTTAATATTTTTGGTCTTTGTCCAGTCTGCTGCTACTTGTAAAAGTGTTCATCTCCAGGATTCTGCCCCTTCATGATTTCCAAATGTGGAAATTAGACTAGATTATGAAAAAATGGGCTTGCATATTGATTTTACATACAGTTTCCTTTCAAAATTTGATCGCTCAGAAAACACACTCATATCTAAGAATTCACTCAACTCTTTGTTTGCTTTTTGCCTAAATAACCTGAGTAATAGAGAAAGTGAGTAGGCGAGAGGAAGACTGGCAAATACTTTACTTGAGGCTTTAGGCTCTTCCATCTTTGCAGAAGTCATTCAGATGACTAACGCAGGATTCCTTGCTCTACTCGGCTGTGCCTCTTTTAAGTGTCAAAACAGAAGAGAAAATGGAGTAGCTATACGCAAATAGTAAAAATATTCTTTATAAAAGAGAATAAATTAAAAGGTTTTACTGAAGAACAGGTAAGCCAGCTGTACACAGCAGATAATACCATTTCACAGAATTTGAAGACAAAGAGTGTAATTTTTCTGAAAGTGAGGTAGCATACATATTCACACTATGGCTGTTTAAGTGGAGAACAGGAAAGAAAAGAAAAGATGGATGTGGCTTATCTTCTGCTGAAACCTTTGTGTAGCTGTGTAACTCAGCAATCCTGATCAGAAATTATAGTCTAGGGCATTTCCTGATGTTTTCACGACTGAATGAAAATATGAAGAGGTACTAAACCCAGCTGGTAATTAACTCCCCTTTAATGCTCTGGGCTGATTCATGGTGTCTATAATAACCGATTAGATTTGGCTTCATTGGACAATTAAAGCCTCTAAGTTCCTCCCATGGTGCCATGTTTCTTCTGGTTTGGTGTGAGGATCTGGCTTATAAGCTTTCCAGCCAGGCTGGAAACAACCTGAAGCAACACCTTATTCCAACCACTCCAGCAAAGACCTTGTTAAAAGTGCAGACTTCTTCCACAGGGAGAAGTCCATTTCTCTATTTCAACTAACAGACATAAAAGAGATGGTAATAAAAACAGCTACACAGATCTTAAGCATTATGATAAATTTTAATATTGGGGAGTTTTGTTTCATTCTTACAGGTTGTACTTACTGCTTTTTTATTAGGTTCTTGCAATACCTGCAAAAACATTACTGTCTTGTGGACAGTATATAAATTATAAGAATGATGTTGTGGCAACTTAGACGCAAATCATATTTCTCCATTTATCAGAAAGCCTCTTTCTGATTAGATTTTCATGGACTTGAAATCTGTTGTTAAATATTCATATTTTATGCTTAAACTTAAATAACATTAAAATAGCACCAAAGCAATGGTAATTTCTGCTGAAAGCTGCAACTTGTAACTCATCACAATAAATTAACCGCAGGAAAATACAGGACAATTAAAAATGGAGTCATATTGGGGTTTTGTCTTTGGAAAATTTCTCTTCATCTGGATTGCTGCCATATACTGGATATGATAACTGAAAACTCCCAAGTTTTCCCTGTCCTTGTGGTCCCCTAGAGAGGTCTGACTCCATACCCTTAGTGCTACAGATGCCACTCTTAAATCAACAGCCCTTCAGCCTACTTGTATTTACAAGACTATATTTTTTGGAAACTGTTTCAAGTGGCAGCTTTCGGTGCTTTCCCTTCCTCCCTTCTCCCCTGCAGTGCGTCACACCGGCACCTTGCCCATACGTCACCCCGTGGTGTGGATGAGGTTGCCACAGCAACAGCACACACTCAGTCACAGCCTCTATAGCCACAGAGGTGTGAGTCAGTTTGAAAGTTTTACTAGGTTTTTATTCATCTGCGATGTGCTGCCCGGCCATCTGCAGTTACTCGTCCGTCCAGTGCTCTCAAACATGCTGGTAACCCTCAATGGGGTCGCTTTCGGTATTTTCACCTCCATCCTTTGGGATGAAATCTCTGCAGATCAGTCCTGGGCAGTCGGTCGCCTGCCAACTCGCAGCACAGAAACTGGCTGGTTCATCAGCCATCTCACAGACATGCCAGGCAGTTGGGCAATAACCAAGTCGATGTCTACTTTTCAAAGGATATGCAAAGCAGCGGTAGTGAGTAACTCCTGAAGAATAAAACTAGAATTACCTACAGTGCATTGTAAAACCTGATTTTCCTTCTGTTAAAGCAGTGAGATAAGTTTTCAGTAATACCTAACTTACAACTCTGCTCATTTTTTCAGACACGGAGATGACTTGATTGTGACACCATTTGCTCAGGTAGGCATAATTTTGCCATATTTGCCAAACCAGTTATTTTCCGTTGTTAATATTATATAAGGTATGTTTGCTTGAAACAGGAAAAAGCTGTCTAAACAGAACATCATAAACCTCCCACTCTGTTATCTATACCTCTCTTTTTTAAAGCTTTTTGATTATTTGAAAAGTTGAAGTGCAACAACATGATAAACACCTTCCACTGATCTCTTTTCAAATACTGTAGCAGAGAGTCATGATGAAGATAAATCTGTGCTCTCTGTTATTCTCCTGCTTTTTACAATCACAATTTCTCCTTTTGAACATCTTTTATGCATTAAATACAAGGTAACTTTTAGATGCAAGATACGCTTTACCCAGAATACTTACGTTCCCTTACAAAACCATCTCTATTTGTTTCATTTTCCCATTTGGATTCTGTTTTCTAAAATACCAACTTCACAATTTTTAGCAACAGAGCTGTCTTGTCTTGATGTTCCTTGAACTGATGATGATAGGTTTTACCCTGAAATAGATAGGAATGAAAGTTAATTCAGTGTAACTACAGGGGCAAAAAATAAATCTGGAACTCATATGTGATTGAAGGTGAATGGAAAGAGAAAGGTTGAGTCACACAGCAGTCTCAAATAAGAAGAAGGTGTCCAACTTCAGCCTGAATATGCAGGTTGCTTTGGTCTAATGATCAGCTGTTAAAACAATTAATATTCATTTAATAGGTTATTATATATTTAATTATATTGTAAACATACAGTGTTTATAAGACATTGGCTCATCAAATCTTTAATATGAATACCTTCATCTTTTATTAGCCGAGAAAAGATTAAGCCAGGGCCTTTTCAAAGAATACTTTAAGGTCTCTCAAATAGTAAATATACTTCAACAATAATGGAAGAGAAGAAATTACAGGAAAAAAAAGAGGGGAAAGAAAAAATAAAACCTTTTCTGGTTTTAGTTCCTAAGGAAACATAAAAACCCTATGCCCTGAGCACAGAAAAAATACAAATTGTATTGTGGTCAAGCAATCCAATAATATTTACTATAGTTGAGTTCATGTTCATTGTCATCTGAATTTTTATTACAAATTATGCACATAGGTAAGACTGGTTATAGTATGCCTACAAAACTAGCAAATATTACACTCCATTTATGGATATCTTTTTCCTGGGACAAAACACCCTATTTGTTTTAAGGGTAGTTTCATATTCATGTTGGTGTTGATGGACGTGCTTCAGCAATTAGAGCAGGAGCAGTTGAATGTTATTGCTACTTGCACCAAGGTGCCGTAATTGATTATTTGAGAGCTTTTAGTATTTCAGTGCAAAACCCTGTTAGCAGTGGTTTAAGTCAACCTGTTTTCATTTGCATTGAACAAGAGAAAGAGCAGTCACAGGGTGAGTTATCACAAGTCACAGTCCTTGACCCCGGTGGAATTGAGACGCAGTTGAGAGGGCATGCCTACTAAACCATGTCCCTAAGCACCTCATCTACACGTCTTTTAAATACCTCCAGGGATGGTGACTCTACCACTTCCCTGGGCAGCCTGTTCCAAGGCCTGACCACTCTTTCAGTAAAGAAATTTTTCCTAATGTCCAATCTAAACCCCCCCTGGCGCAAATTGAGGCCATTTTCTCTCATCCTATCACTAGTTACGTTGTACAGACCACCCTTTTAATGTCTTCCTAGAGCAATATTTCATCATGTAGATGCATTTTTGTGTTCCAAACAGCCAAAGCACCATTTTAATCCATTCAGGGCTTCCTGGTGGCAGTAGATCATGGCATGTGAAACACATCTTCCAGTTACTTCAAACCGTCCATATTTTCTTCAATTGATCAGGAGGCTTGTTTCATCTGATCATGAGCCACCTGGTGGTAATAGTTCCAATTTTAGCATTTCAGTTACTATTCAGCACATCACCGTAGTGTGGCTGCATTTGCTAACTGGAGGCAGAGTAGCATACTGTGACCCCCACATAGAATCTGGCCCCAGAACAAGATAACTTACTATTTTTATCAGAATGGAATTTGGTAAGCTAAAATTAAAAAATCTATCACAAGGATATTATTAGTTGCATTTCCCTATATTGTAATATACAGCAACTGCTGTAATTTAATTATGCATAGAATTTCACTTTTCAAAATAAAATCATTTGAATGATTTGAAATTTAAGGACCAGTTCTGTAGGTTTTTTATCGTCAAAAAAGTTTGATTTTTTTTAATTCACTCGCAACTGTTTGTATATAACTTGATTTTGAAAATAATACTACTTACTTAGGGATTAAACCTAAAGAGGTTTGCAGGTGACTGGTTGCTTTTTGCTCACAAATCTAACTCTAGAAACATTAAGCACAAGTGGAACCTCTGTAGACAGAGAAACTGTCACTTAAAGCAAATGACAATGAGAAATTTAAATATTATTTTATGTACTTATATTATAACATAATAGACTTACAAATATTAATACCTTTATACAATAAATCAAGTTGTTTACCTCCACTGTAGCCAATGGCCAAAGTTTTTGTTGTCACTTTTACATTCATATGTATGTGGGGACGCCTTGCACTTGCAGAAACTCAAAATACGTGCATGTATGCTAAAGCAGCTGGGATGCTGGTCATTTCACCCCTGGACCTACAAAACAGTTATCTCACGTGCCAGAAGAACAAATAGAAGGAGATACAAACCAAAGAGTGGAAAAATCTGGTCAATGTGCATAGTGGTGGGCACAGTAGAGAGACTCCCTCACAGCTCTTCAGGGACCCAAGCGTGGGTCCAGGAACGCTCATTAGCCTCCACTCGTAACTGGCCCTGATCAACCTTGCAGCCCTTGCAGCACTTCTTTCCCCAGCACCCCAGGTGCTAAATGTCCTGTTATTTCAGATCCAACACGTACCTCAGCTACGTTCATGTTTTCACGTGGCATCATGCCTAGCCTACTAACCTTTCTGAAACTCAGCCCTGCGCAGCAGGTACAGAGTCATTCATTGCAATCCAGCAGAGGCAGAGCTAATAAGCATGGCTGTACTTGAGATCACTCACCGAGGAGTCACTTAGCTACCTTTGTACGTCCTCCCAATTTTCAGTGCACCTGAATATACAGCCAATTTGATTTCAACAGGGCTTATTGAATAGAAACTTGCAGCCAGGAAAACCGACTACATTTTTTCATGGCCTGAGACAGCTCTGGGAGCCACATAGGTATGTTTCTCTGATAATACTAGCACATACAAGCCGTCTCAGCATCCTGGCATACATAAACTGAACCCAGGCAGATTGACCGAAGAGAACTGAAAATGGACTGCAGTTACTAAAATGTGTGTCTTACCTTAATAGGCCCAACTTTTTTCCGTTTATGCTTTCCTTCTCCTTCCATCTTCAAGTCATCCTTTCCTTTTACAATATTTTCAAACTGCAGCAATTTTTCTTTGTATATATGTATTCATTTTTGAACTTTTGAACTCCAAGGTTTTCTTTCCCCTTCTGCTCAGTTCATGCCTGATTTCCATCGGTGTATATCCAACACCTAAATACAACATTTGTTAGAGTCACTGTACCCTGGGCATGTAAATTTGCTGGCATATATAATTATTTTTATTCCATGCTGAATGTAAAATATGTGAGTTTGCCTCCTGATCTTTGGAAATGAAAATATAATTAAATTAATACTGTCTAATTAGCCAACAAATGTATTTTTATTTTTATTATCTTAACTCATTTGGGAATTACCTACAATAACTTGAATACTGCCAGTCATTAGTATCTCCTGAATATTTTCCGTCTGTTAGAAGCTTTCACTAAATCCTTCTTTTCTCTTCAGCCTCCTATCCCCTTCCTGCCTTATCTATAAATTTAAGGGGCTATGAAAAGCGGCTTGTATCCTCCTCGACTCAGAACTCTGGAATGCAGAGTCAATTCCCACCTTTGTTACTCCTAGGACGGGTTTACCAGGAAACCAGCCCAGTCTGGGCTGAGAAACAACAAAGGGCAGCTTCTACAAAGACACACCAGTGATTAGTGTTGCTGCCTTCTCCCAGTCCCGGTCTGGTTCCAAACAACTCATGGTTCCTCTCCAACATCAGCTGAACTGCCTCTCCGTAGTCGAAGAGGTGCATCTTATTATTCTTACATGGTACAAAATTTGTGGCATTTATCCAACTACCTCCAGAAGAGAGTGCCTACGCCACTTATAACAAGAAGACACTCCTCTACTGCCTCCACTAGCTGCTGTCTTCCACAAAATTAAGTCCAGAAAGGAAGTAGTTCATTTATGTTGTCTTTCCCAATGTGCAAAGCTTGTAACAGTCTGCAGACATTTCCCACCTGCTCAGGTGATACCTTCTCTTACTCTGGCCTTCTGCACTAAGCCGCCAACTCAACTGCACTCCTTAAAGGAGCCACTTTTATTTTTCCTGGCAGTCTAGACGATCTAATTCCCTTTGTCCTTTATGGTTCGTGGGGGCTGAACTGCAAATGGAAAATTCTGTAATCATTTCTTATGCATGAAGTATTAGGCTTGAATGGGCTATTATCTTCCAAACACGAATGCTTTTCTGGTCATTTTAAAGAACTAATTAGTATTCTGTGAAAAACTTTCCTCCTCTTCAAGTAAGTCTGCCTTTAAACAAATAATGAGTTGTTTATGAGGAAAAAAAAGAAACAATCTATCGCCTTTGTATTACAGACATGTCATTGTTGAATAATGGTCAAAGGCTTCAGACAAACCAACCCTGGAAACCTTTTACAGTTGTTTTGCAATGTCCTTTCCTTTTTCTTTCAGCATAGCGGAGCAGAGATAAATCAGTCTCACCTGTGCAGAAATTTAGATTGAAACCATTTTGTCTATTCCAGGTGCTGGCCAGCCTGCGTACTGTACGGAATAACTTTGCTGCATTAACCAATTTACAAGATCGGGCACCCAGCAAGTGAGTGTCAATTTTTGGCCACTGAACTTTTTGCAGTGATACTTTTTAAATGTAAATTAAGAATAACAATTAGATGTTACAAATTTCAGTCTGTGCCACCAAACCTGCATAAAACATGCAGATGAGTAATGAGTTTATTAATCCCTTGAAGATGCTATACTTGATAGCTGAGACAACAGTCCCCTTGCCTACTAATTGCTCTTGCATTGCTGTCCTTGCATAAACTTGGAGTGGTTTTGTGCAATTTACATGATTTTCAATAAATTAGTCATATGTCAAAGATCATTCAAAGATGATCATTGAGGCAGTGTCTGAGTCTTGCAAATGAATCAAAGTGAGCAGACAGCTCATACTCATAGTGAGCTACATGCATGGTCTGAAGCTAGAACTCGGCCTAACTCATCCAAGATAATGACATCCCACTTATCCACAGTAGTTCATGATTATAAATGGGACATTATAAGTATGATCTTTCTCCAATCGTATTACAGCGTCACAGTTAACATTAACCTCAGTTACACTGGCAAATTTTGTAGTGGACTCATTTCCTTCACCCAAAATGTGCATATCTAGAATTTAGAAATAATTAGCATTGCAAAGACAGCTGCCTACCATTGCATTGCACTACCAGTTAGTGCCACTAAAAGATATTTCCAGCCCCCTTGGTTGGAATATGCAGACCCTATGTGGCCACTGCTTGCAGTCATCCACACATCCCTACACAGCTGTGTCAGTCCAGCAACTTCTAGCTTTCTTCAATGGGCAAAGCAGTCCACTGAGCTGTTTGCCCTAAAGATTATTGTGAAAGGTATATGCAAAATAATGTGTGAAATGTATATGCAAAATAATAGAGTGAATAATTTAAAAAAACCCAGAATTTCAAGTCAGAGAACGTGGGAAGTGCAAGCCATGTTAGAATAATGATAACTATGTATATAAATCAAACGTCAAGCTAGGTATACACTCTAGGTATGATTAGGCAGGTTTTTAATGAACTTGTAAATTCCTAAAATATTCCTGTCTTGGAGTTCCCAATCTGCAGAGAGGTTTCAGGGTCAGTTGTGAACTCCCTTCCACACTAGAAAGAAATATCTGTTCTAACCAAACTTTTTCTTTGGCAATGCCAGGGTATTCCAGTTCCAAATAATTTCCCAAGGAAATGTATTTTCTATTATATTGTTCAAGGATTCAGTCATCTGTGAGTTTATCAGGCTTATACTTTTTTTTTCTTTTCTTTTAAACAGACGATCACCAATGTGTAACCAACCATCTATTAACAAAGCAACTATAACAGGTAAGAAGAATTAATATGACTACAATTCCTCTGTGAAACCATAATGGGTTTCTAAATTTAATATTATTTATAAAAACGTCTCACTGAAAACTGCATTTTATAATAATAACCTTATATTGTTTCTTATTCTTATATCTGTTTTATTAAAGAGGAATTGAGTCATGTGGTGACTCAAATTGGTGACTTTTGGTGTTGTATCACATTAGCTTTCTGATTTCTGTCTTATTATCCTGGTTTTAATTTAAGATCTTTCCCAAATTTTTTTTTTCCTTATATACCAGTGTGTGATCGTGTCATGACTACCTTCATTAATAACTTTTTGCAATAAAATGTAGTAGAAAGAACTGGCATGAGGAATGCATTGATCTTGCATTTGGGACATGGAGTTCTGTAGCTATACCGAGGCAAAGTCTTTGCATTACAAGCCCTTAGGCAATGAGAAGAAATTTTCAAAACTGACTTTTCTGATTTAGGACAGTAAATTCTATTTCTATAACATTTGTAGGTGCATAAGAGAAAAATAGTTCCTTTGTAAAAGACACTATTATTTCTAAAGAAACATTAACCTGAAAACAGGACTAGCATTGTAAGTTACGTGAACACTTTTGAAAATTTTACCCTGCAGCACTTTTGGTTATTATTATGGCAACTTGGTCTTGGACATCTTTATGGGAACACACTTTATTTGACCTCGAATTTTTTACATCATGTTAATCCATGTGTTCTTACACTGTCTAATTTTCCAGGTAGTTACATTCTCTATGGTGTGTTGGCAGAGTGAAAGAGCATTTGCTTTGCCACTTGATAAAAGTATACAGGCACTTACTAAATTGACAATTTTTCATTTAAACTAAAAACTTAATGTTTCCAGAATTTTCAAAATAGCTCTTGTCTTTTTAATTGTATAATAGACTTGTAACTCAAGGAAGAAATGGTACTTCAGCTCTTTTGAGGAGAAGTGTGGCTTTGTCATGTTCAATAGTTTCTGTCTTTAGGCTCTGGAATGTGTTAACATTGTTAGCTTTTTTCATCTAGCCTCACACAATATCCATATTTACCTCTGAATGACTCAATCTTGGCAGTTCTGTATAATTTTATTCTCCTAGGAACTCATCGCGTAATCTGAGCATTAGTGTGTAGGGCTTATAAGGGAACAGAGGGTTAAATCTTTAAATTTATTCTATAAACAGAAAAGCATCCTTAGTTAAGAATGTTCTGCAATCATACTTAAATTCATGGTAATTAAATAAATAGGAAGGGGAGACAGAAAAATGCTTAGATCAATTATAATCATAATCCTTTGTTAATGTATTCATTTAAGAGGTAATTTTGGGCATTGGTTTCAAATTACTTTCTATGACACATTTCAGTTATTGATAGATGTTACACCTATTTTTAATTGTGGGATTTGTCTCTTGCAACGCAGTCATCCGGAAGTCTGTTATCTTAACTGGAGATAGAGATACTGGAAAATAGGGCTCTTTCTTTGGTTCCAAGGGACTAACTTCAGAAAGCCTATAACACACTAAAACCCCTGACAGTAAAAGAAAATGTGATATCCAGAAGAGAAGATACGCATGCGTGTGAACACACAGTAGCCTATCTTACGTGCTCTCCCACAGTTGTTTGCCTGAGGTCAGCTTCTTTTCTCCAGCAGGAGAAGCTGCTCAGACAGCAGGACCCAAGACACATTCTGCTGGGAGATGTTGTTGCTTTTTTTAAATTCCCCTCAATCTGAAGGTTTCCATGCAGTTAATCCTCAGAGTGCACTTTACATGTCAGAAGCAATAAATCATCTGAGGTTTTAATGTTTAGAAGGAAGGTGGTGCAGTCAGTGCTGCAATTAATCGAGAAAATACTTGTGCCAAGAAATTTAAAGGAAGCAAGAGAAAGCAAAGAATATTAAGGATAATTTAATCTAATTTAGTTTAATCTGATTTCTCAGAGATGTTGCTGGAATTGCTGTACCCAGATTATGCATCGAACTGGGTGAGCTGGGGCCTGTGTACATTGGATATGGATAGGTGGCTAAAAGACTTTAGCAATACAGGAAAGATATTAAGCCACCATAAAGCATGAAAATCGCTACAATTTATTTTGACTGTTGAATGGAGATTGAGGCTGGATATTATTTTGCCTGAACGGGTTTGCCCGTTCTTAGTCATAGACTTTTTGATACCTCCACAGCAACAAATTTCATGGCATAAGTGCAGAAGTATTCATAGGTGCTTTCTTGGGGCATATAAAATCCTAGTAAAACATGTTGCGCTACAGTGCTATGCCAAGAAGGAAGATATATTAGAAACACTTTTCCTCCTATTCACAGAATAACTGAAAACCCTTTCAGATGCTACCAAGCTTCTCAAATTCTTCTGGGGAATGTTTGAAATGTAACTCTGAGAAATCCTCCTGGTTGTGCTGTTCTCAGAGTTTGTGTCATGGAGTATCCAGAACAATACACCAGACAGGTAGAGCCCCATCACATCATCCAGATGGCTCAGCTAGCAATCTCAGCGAGAACCGATCACCAGTGTAACAAACTAGGTGACTGGAAGGCACAGTCGCTAAACTATGTCAATGCTAAACCAGAAACAGACATTTAAGATGGAGAGTTTATGTTGCTAAGCTTCCTGGAAGAAGTGTCTTTGGGAAGACTCTTGACTGAGGAAAGGGACGATCACAGAAAGCAAAAGTGTAGCAAAAGGGAACTACTGCAGAAGATATGGGGAAAACAACAAGGGAAAGATAAAAAGGGATTTGGTAAAGCCAAGTGACTAAAATAGCAAGAGCAAAATTCTCCCATGTATTATTTTAAGAATTCACCCTGAGACATAAATGCGGGAGAAAAGGCATTAGCAAAACAGTAAGGAACTGTGGAATTGAGAACTGAAGCAGCACAGGAATCAGATGTTCAAGTTCTTAGAAGCAACAGCAACCATGGTGGCCTTAAAATTTGCAGTGATTTTTCAATGTAAGTATGTAGAAGTTGATGACCAAAATATGGTCTGTTCTATTCAATTTATCCACATGAATCCCTCTTAGAAACTGTGTTGAAAGAAGCTAATAAATATCACTGGTGTACTTGATCTTCAGTATCAGCCAAGTATGCTACAGCACGCTGAGTACTCCTTTTGCAGACAAATTAGGGGGTAGGAGGTAGGAGCTTTTCACGTAACAACAGACTTCTTAGATGGCACTTTTCTTACTTGCTTTAGACATCTAGGATGTAGATATCTATTTTGTCGAGGCTCTTTAGAGTCCCCTTATAGTCAGTGTGAATAAGCACACATGCGAACTGACTTACGTTAGATGACTTCTTTAAAGGGAGATAAATTGCTCCCTAAAAGTGCCATCTCCCTCCCATGACTGAGACCAGCCTGGGATAACTCCCTACAGTGCTTCCACGTGTGGTGTTCTGTGCTTCAACCAGAAGAGGGGTTCCTCTCACTATGAGTCACGTTTTCCAGGCAGTGATATGAGTGGTGTTTCATTTCAAGTTGATAGTAATTCTCTTAACACAATCAGTGAATTATAAATAACTTCTCATTTTCAAAAAAATGAAACTGTGACTCAAGGATTGAGCTTGCAAGTTTTAATTTTTGACTGATAAAAAAGTGAGTAAGCATTAGATATTTTTTGATTACTATAGTTCTTACATTGCATTTCTAAATCAGAGTAATTTTAATTAGGAAGGAACCATATAAGGTCTTTCTTGATATGTGTCAGATCTAAAACCGATACGGGATCTGACAGTTTCTCTGCCCACTAATGACAATTTGCAAACTCAGTCTCACAGCTGCTTTTACGCAAAGATTCTGCATGCAGAAGGAGGTAAGTTTGTCCAAAAGAATGAGTTTCTGAGCCTCTGAATACTATCACAACTACTGATTAACTGGCAAATCTTAGTTAACCTGAAATCACAGACACAGGGTCTGATTCACGTATACATATGTTAGATAGACGTAATACCTAATTCATAGTAATAACTTTAAAGTGGATTTAAATGTAGATTATGTAAGTGGCCCTTTATATTACAAATGCAGTGCCAAAGGACTTGTAAGTGAAGACTTGTATATGTAACAAAAAAGTCATTTAATTTAATCATAAAATAAATCATAATTGCAAAATTTTTGAAAAGTTATTTACACTTAACAATTTTTCATCAAAAACTAACCCAAACCTATTTCATCAGATAGAGGAAAGTAAATGGAATTTTTCAATAACAAACTACATTTCATTTCTTAAAATGTAGGAAGCATGTGGCTCAGTGTCAGAAAAAACACTTCAGATTTTGTCATGTATACAAAAACCACGGCGATAGAGAAATAAACTATTTGCAAAGATTATGAGGTTATAAATCTAACTGAATTAATTTGCTACTCCATGCTTTCATTGCTTCTTATTGGACTTGATTTACTCTTTATATGCATGGCTCTGCATCTCAAATCCAGCAGAAATTAATATCCTGCCAATTAAATGGAAATGCTTGCATGTTTTTCATGGGCTTTGTCCAACACATTTCATTATTTGTTTTGATTAGCTTCAGGTTTCCCAGTTAAGTTTATGGTTGTGAAATGGGATCTACCAGTCTTTTGCTAGAGATTTTATTTTATTACATTCAAAGGATAATCAATCATTATTTAATAATGAAATATTAATTAATTAATTAATTAAAGATTAGCCTCCTCTCTTTCCATATGATACACTTAAACAAACATTACTAAGCTAAACATCTACCTTCATACAGACTAAACTTCTAAATACAAGCCGCTGGATATAACAAGAAAAAACAAAGGTTACAGATGAAAATCAGTAGGTCACATCTTATGAAATTGGAAATAATAGATTATTTTGAGTATGTATATCTCTGTGTAAATGTATCTCTCACTTATACCAGTTCTGTAACTGAAAGATTTTATTGAATAACAGGATGGAATTAAATTCAAGTAAATTCTTGTTCAATAAGAAGTAACATTCTTGATATGCTTTAAACTATTCAGAAGTCCAGAAGGCAAAGTGTTACATACCCTGCTGACTCTTCCAGGGCCTGACTGGACTGTACAGTGTATCACTGCATGGAGATGTCCTCAATAATCCAAATGCCTTTTATTCTCTCCTGTGTCTGGGATTCTGCCAGAACACAGCAGAGGATAAAGTAAACATAGGAACACTAGTGGACAAAAAAAGGCAAAAGTGCATGCCTTACAGAGGTTAATGCATGCAATACTGGGGTAATTGCCACTAGCTTGGGAGTGGGTATATGGGATTGAAGGGATCCTAATGTCTATGAAAACAGAGGCTTAAAAATAAAGAATATTTCATTTTTTTAACAAAAGAAAACTCATAATACAATATCAGTGTCACATTTTAAAATGCTGAAGACCTTAGATTTCATACCCAGATTCAGGCAGATATGCAAAACATGCCTTATTCAAGATGTAATTGCAGTATATGTATCACTCTTCTAGATTTAGTCAGCAGGATTACATTTATAATGAGAACTTCCCACTCTTACTTAATTTGCCCACTGAATATATTTTTATCTTATTACAGAGAAGTACTCCTATGGTAAACTGCACTGCCAAACTTTTGGCAGAGGCGAGGTAAAATGTTCTGAAATCCTCACTCAAGTGAGTAAAGGGTGCTTTCCTGAAGCACTGGAGAAACCTGACATCCTGGTTTTAAACGGGGATGTTTTTGATAACATGGCCTTTGCTCTTTGTGCAGTATGTGGAATGATATGTAAATGTTCTGTTCTTTGTACCCACACACCTATGGATATTTTGAATGAATTTAACTCACCTAAGACAATTATTTTAATTTCAAGGTAAATACCACAGACACTTATATTTTCAAGTGTGAATGTGATTTGTAGCATTTCCACATCTTTCAATCTGTGGTAAATGCCATCTATTATTTGAGAAATTAGCAGATGTGTATCTGCAGACTCACAGTAGGTTAACAGTATATACCAGTGGTTGAATTCAAGCATTACATGTGCTTTATATGCACAAAAGTTACTGGCACACACGTGCTAGTTCACCTCTGTTTATTTCCTAGGGGAATATGTCCAATACTCGCATTTAGGACCAGAATTCTTACTAAGAGCCAGTTAAATGTGTCCTTTTAACTTCTGTGAATGATTCTGAAACTGCTTTTTTATGTGAAGTATGTGAAGACAGCCATATTCATTACAACTGTTTTCTCAGACCAAAAAAAAAGCACATTGTGTTGTTTGGTGTGGATTTTATGCTGTGCGAAGAGCAGTAGAACAAAAGAGACAAACTTACAAACTGAAAGAAAACCATGTGGAAGGTTATATACCTACATTAAGCTGTTCATATTAATGGCGTCCTGAAAATGTGGGGTTTGGAAGATACCCATAGCACATATACATGTAAGTGCTATTTGTCACTGTCAATCAGATAAATAAGCATTTATCATTTTGTTATTTCTATCCAACTCAACTCCTGCCTTTAAAAACAAAAGGCCTCTTAGAAACTCACATCCCAGGCCTAATATTCTATTTTATATTAAATTGAAGTACTTGTCACAAAAAAACATTGTAGAATTCAGAGTTGACTAATTACCTTGGTTTCTTGCATGGCTATTCATTTAATTATCATCTATGCAACCCTATTGCTCTTTCATGTCTATAACATCCTTTTAGAACTTACCCATCCTCCATAAAGAAGTAACTTCCTTTCTAAAAAAATAAAACAAAATGTTAAGTAGACCTCTGTATGGCACAGACCAATGTGAAAGGACAACTCTTCTCTTCAGCTGTTGCTTTCTCTTGCTGTTAGTACTTCTAACAGCCTTTAAGCATCCACAGTGGCATCAAGTTTTGAAACTCAGTAGGTAATTTGAAACTACAGAGAAAAGTGCTAAGGAAAAGGAAAACACATATTTTTTTGTCAGAAAAAATATATTTTATCATAACTTAAAACAACTAACACTGGTCTCTATTAATCCACTGTTTGGATTAATCAATCTAAATTTGGTATTAATACATAAAATAAGAATGCAATGAGAAGATCAGTAGTCCTTCATATGGGATGGAGTTTCAAAAGGCTTTGTGCATTTTTCATGAAGCTGTTGTTATATAATATTGAATTTTATTTGTGGTCTGCATCCTTGTTCAGTTTTAGAATTAACATGAGGTACTGATCTCAGGGCTTTATGTACTGAAAGGACAGCAGAAACTGTTGAGATGGAAGAAAGATTGAAAACTAAATGACCGGTCTACATGAGGTACAGTGCCTTCATGAATAGGTTTGTTTTGATGGGTGGCAATATTGCAATTGCGAGTAAAATCTAAGATACATCTGAACCTAGAAAGTACTCCATTCTATTGTCTTTTTAGACCAGACCCCAATTAACATTTATGTGATAAACTCTGCTATGAATGTATGTGTCAAGCTTGAGTTTGAGAAAAGAAACTACACTTTTGAATATTTGGGGCGATGCATTATGGACTAGCATTTTTTTCTTGTTGAGCAATTCAGTTTGCGCGGCAGTTTGCACGGAAGGGCGCACAGGGAGGGCAGCCTTCGGAAAACAGCCTATTTTCTTTTGGGAGCCAGTCAGAGGTAGCCTCCTGTTGAAACAAAATGGATTCCATCTGCCACAACTGCAAAGCTGTGACTAAAACCTAGGTGGAAGTGATATACCTTCCTATGTGGACACCTACACCCAGACTGACCCCCCAAGAACTGAAAGAGCTGGCCAGACCCAAACTGTGCATGGAACTCCAGAACCTGGAAATCCCCCTAGGGTCCAAAGGCAGAGGTGGATGTCATGGGTGCAAGTATGTCCAGCTGGAGGAACTCATCAAGCAAGTGGCCATGTTACAAGAGGAGCTTAACAGGCAGTGCAGTATCTGGGCATCTGAGCAAGAGACTGATGCGTGGTATTGTGCACTGTCACAAGCTGAGTGACAGCCCTGCCTTCAGACTTAGCTGAAGTGCCCATACGTAAGAGGTACAATGCCCTGGGGCTGGAGAACGAAGAGAGAGTGAGTAACGGGCAAGACCCAGGAAAGCCCAGCTGTGCAAAGTTCCTCCAACCACCCACCTGCATTAGAACCAGTGCCACCAGAAAAGTACATAGGGTGTCATCTGAGATTCCTTGCTGAGAGGCACCAAAGCACCCATTTGTCACCCAGACAGTATCTCTAGAAAAGTTTGCTGCTTGTCAGGAACTTACATCGGTGATGTCACGGAGAGGTTACCAAGCCTGGTAAAGCCTGCGGACTATCACCCGTTCCTACTCTTCCAAGTAGGACAGAATGATGCTGCAATGAGGCCACTCAGAAACATCAAAAGGGACTTTATGTCCCTTGGAACAATGTTAAAGAGATTGGGAGCACAGGTGGTGTTCTCCTCTATGCTCCCAGTTGGAGAAGCGGGTTCAAGAAAAAGGAGACGAATTGAACAGGTGAATGGCTGGCTGCGTAGCTGCCATGCTCAAGGTCTCAGCTTCTACGATCTTGGGCATACCTTTGAGAAACCGGGCCTGTCGACAGCTGCCGGGGCTCAGCTGACCAAGTGTGAGCAAGACTGTCCGGGGCAATAACCTGGCTGGACTTATAAACAGAGCTTTAAACTAGATGTAGTGGGGGAAGGGGATGAAGTTTTAAGCACTCAAGAAGAGCTAGGGACTGCTGAGGCATTAGGAAGCAACAGGGAAACCCCTGTGAACCGCCTCAAGGGAATTAGGGCGAGCTCCTCTAAAAAGGGGATGTGTCCAATAGCCCAGCTGAGGTGCCTCTATACTAATGCATGCAGTGTGGGAAACAAACAGGAGGAGCTGGTAGCTGCTGCTCAGATGGAAGACTATGACCTGACTGCTATGACAGAAACTTGGTGGGATGAATCGCACGATTGCAATGCTGTGATTGATGACTATAAAGTATTCAGAAGGGACAGGCAAGGAAGGAGAGGTGGGGAGTTGCCTTCTATGTCAAAAGTGGTATTGATTGCACAGAGCTATCTTTGAAGAACAGCAATGCACAGGTCGAGAGCTTATGGGTGAAAATTAGAGACCAAGGCAACAAAGGAAACTTTATGTTTGGTTTCTACTGAGGCCACCTGATCAAGAAGAAGAGGTTGATGAAGAGTTCTTTCTTCAACTGCAGGAAGCATCACGCTCACAGGCCCTGATCCTGAGAGGGGACTTCAACCACCCAGACATCTGCTGGAAAAGCAGCACAGCGAACTGCAAGCAGTCCAGGAAACTACTGGAGTGCGTTGCAGACAATTTCCTAGTACAGGTGATGGAGAGCCCAACCAGAGGAGAGGCACGTGGAGGAATTTATCAGAGAGGTCAAGATTGGAGGTAGCCTGGGCTGCAGTGATCATGCCCTGGTGGAATTCTCAATCTTGAGGGGTACAGGATGGGTAAAAAGTAAAGTCAGAACCCTAAACCTCAGAAATGCAAACTTTCAGCTGTTTAGCGTGCTAGTGCGTGGGAGCCCTTGGGAAACTCCCATCAGAGGCAAAGGAGTGAACGAGAGCTGGGAGATATTTAAAGACATTTTTGTTAGGGTGCAAGAGCTTTCAATCCCGATGTGCAAAAAGTCGGGCAGGGGAGGCAGGAGGCCAGCTTGGCTAAGTCAAGACCTCTTAGCCAAACTAAAACACAAAACCAAAATGCATAGGCAGTGGAGGCAGGCATACACATCTTGGGGAGATTATAGGGATATGGCCCAAGAGTGCAGAGAGGGGATCAGGAAAGCCAAGGCACAGCTGGAGCTGAACTTGGCTAGGGACATGAAAAATAACAAGAAGAGTTTCTTCAGGTACATAGGTCAACAAAGGAAGATGAAAGACACTGTACCCTCCTGCAATGGGCAAAATGGGAGACCTGGCTACAACCATAATGGAGAAGGCTGAGGTACTCAATAGCTTTTTTGCCTTGGTCTCCACCGCCAAGTGCTCTAGCCATGCCACCCAATTCACACAATCCAAAGGCAGGGACTGGGAGAAAGAAGTACTGCCCACCGTAGGATAAGATCAGGTTTGAGACCATCTAAGGAACCTGAATGTGCACAAGTCCATGGGACCCGATGAGATGCATCTGAGGGTCCTGAGGGAACTGGCAGATGAAGTTGCTAAGCCACTCTCCATCATATTTGAAAAGTCATGGCAGACTGGTGAAGTTCCCACTGACTGGAAAAGAGGGAAACATAATCCCCATTTTTAAAAAGGGAAAAAAGGAAGACCCGGAGAACTACAGGCTGGTCAGTCTCACCTCTGTGCCTGACAAGATCATGGAACAGATCCTTCTGGAAGCTGGAGAACAGAGAGGTGACTGGTAACAGCCAACATGACTTCACTAAGGGCAAA